ATTGCACTCTCGGTCAGCCGCGATTAGGACTTTGAATCTGAAATTCTTCCAGACATCTTAGTTGCAGAGCCTGTCCTTGTCTTCATTCAGGCCTTCGGATTGCAAAACGGTCTCAAGGCACTCATTTGTCCGTAAGAGTTTATATTGAAAGGCCCACTAGATTAGTCAATGCATGGCAGATTGCATTCTCGTTCCCACAGTCATTGTTGGACTGGCTAGAGAAGTCGCCTGCTGTTTTATTTTCTTCTCTCCACTTGGTTTTTCCTTGACTGGTTCTCACGCTGCAAACAGATCTGTTCTTATAAAGGCCACCACTGAACGCAGTACGTCAAGCACAACTCAGCCTCGCCGCCCTACGCCAGGCTCCTCTTCTGCACTGGATCAAAGACGCCTTATGTCTGGTATTAAACGAAGAAGGTACTCAATGTTTTTTACTCTTCTCATCGATTTAGCATTTCAAACTCCGACCGGGACCCAAAGCGTGCACATACAGGCTCGTCCGGTAAGAATTTGTGCATTTTGCCTGTCCACAAACTTGAGCATTAAAAAGCAGACCAGATGGCTACGATTGTTTGAACACGGTTACCCATTTTTGGGTTATTCGGCATTCCCTCGTATTAGACTATTTCTTTCGTATTGCTGCCAGCCCGTATGTCAGGCGATTTCGACAAAATCAGTCGGAGACACAGACAAGGGGATCTGGGAGAATAATTACGTTAATTGTCCGATCAATCCTCGACTTTTAAATAAACACTCAGACTGAATACCCTCGTCCGCGCCTGGATAACCGCAGTGTTGACTTTTTTTAGACTTGAGCTTTACCTCCGCCATGCCCCAAACCCAGGTACTAAATGCAACCTGCTTTGAGATGTTGGACTCAGTCATTTGATCTTTCCCTTACACGACTGCCTTTTCCTCGCGGTTAGCAGTGTAATTTTCCATGAACACAAGCTGCACGGAGCGGTCGGTATGTTAACTCCGGTCAGACATACTCTCCATCACTAACAAATAAATCTCGAAAGTTTAAATGTCACCTTAAGCTCTTCACAGGCACTGTCAAGACAGCCTTCGAGGCGAGAGTCTCTGCCCCAATAGCGGGGATGGAGTCTTTGGCTCAAGAAACAATGTAGAACTTCCCGGCAAACATTAGAAGAGTCAGCCTAATAACACCCGTGTTTATATTTATCGTAAGGACTGGTTATAGTTCTCCGCTTTTTGTTAGTCTCTCTCGTCAGGTAAAGGCCTAACCAGA